TTGTTGAGCCATGTTGTAGACTGATATTGCTGAAGAGTTGATCTCACTTTGTCGATCAGTTGGAGTTCAACGCTTGAGGATAACCTTTTTTAGAGCTTCGTAAGTTCATGCAACTTCACTAGTAAACATACTATGTGTGACGTACCTGTTGAAATCTCGAAATAATGCCTTCACTCCTGCAAAGAAATGTGCGCGTCAATATGTCACGCCGTGTTCGTGGAAGTCAGCTTTTGTGTAGCAGAAACAGGCCTCCTCATTGTCGGGTTAAAATGACATTATCTGGAATGAGGGCGGCGAAAGATCTTCGATCCTGAATAACTACTCAGGCAACATGATGATTCGCGCAGATCGACCGTTGACGGAGTAGAGCGAATCTTTAGCGGACTGAAAACAAAATTTTTGCGCCTACTCCAACTATGACAGTACTGAGATTGATTCACGTCACGAAGTTTGTTTGTTTCACCACTGCTTTTTTTTCAGAACTGCTTCGGTGGGGCTGAAAAGTTATTAATATTTTTCTATGCAAATTATATCCTCTATCCACTAATTATAAGGCTAAAGCCCTTGTTACACTAAATTCTAGACTAGTGAACATCTCAGCGAATTGCTAGACATGAAGAATTATATGGACAACGTTCAAGTCGACGATAGCGATGTGTTATGTCGACCACGTGCATGTTCAAGCATCTAATGAATATTTTGTGTGTATGAGTTCAACAATTATAATCAACGGTTTCAGTTTTTAGGGAATGCGTGATACACGTTTAGGACGCGCAACGCCTCAGATTGTGTGAAAGCTTGATGGTGCTTCGTATTATTCTAAACCACAAATCTTCCTGGTAGTCTCCCGGATATGCTCCCGCTGCGAGTTAAATTGAAACATATACGATGACACGCCTTCACAAACTTTGTTGACTGATATAGTACTTTCGTTCATCATACCCATGAATAGGCATTCCTTGCTTAATCGGCGTTTCACGGTATTAGTATTTACTTTCACAACAGTATGAACTTCTGCAGATCTATACGGCTATCAGTAAGAGTAGATGCTTACTATGTAACGGCAAGAGAACGATGAAAATTCTTCCTCAGCGTTTTTGTTGTACAGAACTGTCTTTGTCTGTTTCTACTCCTTGTCTTGTATTTTAACCCTTGTTCAGATCTCGTTTAACCACACCTTTTGTTCTTCAGTCTTCCTCGTCTAAGCCTTTATTATGTGGTTTTGATTAAAGACTTATCTTTTGTTACCTAAGCTTCCATTGCATGTTGTCGGACTATTGACAGTACGGTTGTGTTTGACTAAACTCAAGGTCACAGGTGGTTCAGTGTGTGACTGTTAACCTTTTGCCTATCTGCTTCAGAGGATTTTTGGAATCCCTGCGGACAGATATTTGATCCCATCTTATTGGGAATATTTTTATCGATTCTCAGGTAGCAAACGCTTTAGTATTAACTGTTTCTTTCATTGTTTAGCGCGCTACTTTGCGTTAGAGAAACTTCTGATTGTATAGCATAGGCTGTACCGTTTGAGGTATTTTGTACTTTTGATATAATTTGTTCTGTTTTCTTAATCAGAACCTACTATATTTAACACAGTTTGTGTTTTGATATTATATGATACGAGTATCTCAAAAACGCGTTGTACGCTATACAGAGGAACGTAGTCTGGTCTAATCGAATAAATTTTGGTTCGTCAGTCCGGCGTTCCAACCGAATACTGGTTGTTCGGTCGTTACATAATATTTGATGAAGCTACTTCACGAACATAGGAATTCGCATAACGAAACAGCCGGTTATAGAGCGAGTACTTTCCAAGTGTTAGAAACAATTATACATTAACAACGGTTAACCTCCTTATAAAACGTCAGTATATTTATAGTTTTTACATGAGAAGGTTCCAGAGTATTCTCTAACTATCGGCTAGTGCTGATTGGCTAAGAATTAACCTATCAGCGTGCACTAAAGCAATCATGCATTGAGCATGCTTTAATTCAGTCTATGTCCCGCTAACAGACTTCTTGTAGTATACTGAGTTCATGCCACATCTCCACACTTTCTTATATCTTAGGCCATGTTTCATACCATAAAACAAAACTATACAGAGATAAATGCTGGAGAAACTGGAGTCTTGCCTAGTTACAAGTGATTCTTAAATAATCACTGTCGACTTTTCTTTGAGATTCCATCACAAATCACTCTCTGTATTAATCCACAATCTGCAGTTTGTGACTTCCCTGGCTCCGTAAAAGCTGTAAATACTGCTTTCTTCGTCATGGAAATGATAATATTGTGTTATTATGGAAAATGTTTGTGCCATCTAGCTTCAATGGAGTTCATTGTCCTTAAATATCATTAGCAATGTACCATATACTTCGTAAATGATTGAGCTCATCTGCAAGAGTTTATCTCCTTATGTACGCTAGAAGGATATTTAAACCCAGTGAAATCTTACGAAAGCCTAGCCACGTCATCTGGTAGTCAGGTCATTGAATACCGGACAGTTTACTGATCCTTATCACGGTCAAGGACAAACAATTTACACCAGTTAATTGAGTGCGATGGACTGGTCTCTACTATGGTGGCCTCACTCTGTCTCTTATATCCGCTCTGAATAACATATTTCCGTATTAAATCCGTTTATGTTGTACGGTCATCAAAGTAGTCTTAATATCTGGATACGATGAAAGGGTAATCCACGTCAGGTACTAACCGTAAGGTGTGACTTTGACGTTTGCTGGTTGGTCACGTCATTCCTGTCTAGTTCGAGTAGGCCTTCAGTCATTCGACACAGACTATCTATGTTGGTGAACTACTGATATGGCGGTTGGAATACTGGCATGTCACAAACATTGGACAATTTCAGTCACAAGTCTCCCATGGTCGACCATGAACACCTAATCACTGTTTCCGTATTCAAAATAGACGTGACTAATTTTTTGCAGTTCCAGTACAACTTTCTTCCATAAGAAAAGAGTAATTTGGCCGACAAAAGGAACTATTTATCGTTACGTACCTACTGACTATTATCTTGACTTCAGCAGTTCTCGTTGCCGATGTTATGGGATTCCATCTGATATTACGTCGTTTTCTGAACATGATCAACTTTTAAACCAAAGCGATCGGGCTGTGAAGAGCATTATGTTTCCAAGATCATGTTGCGGAGCCACAATCAAGGTTATGGCTGACTACTTTGGGGCAGTTTTCACTCAGGAACCTCCTCTAGAGAAAGAACCAGACCCAATTACAGAGTCAACAAACCAGCTGCTCACCGTGGACTTCGACCAAAACGATGTGCTTAAGGCTCTTAGCACCCTAAACATGGAGAAGTCAACAGGACCAGATGAACTACACCCTAAAATCTTGAGACATATTGCCGAATATATCGCAGCCCCACTGACTGTGATATTCAAAATGTCACTTGACCAAGGTGTGTTACCTATGGACTGGAAGGACGCAATCGTCACTCCCATACATAAAACTGGTCTACGACAAGTTCCATCAAATTACAGACCCGTAAGCCTCACCAGTGTTGTAATTAAAATACTGGAAAGGATAATCAAACGGACCATAACAGCATTTATGGAAACCAATAACTTGCTGAACATGGCACAACATGGTTTTAGAAAGGGTCTATCCTGTACAACGAACCTCCTTATAGCTAGGGAGCTCTGGATTAATGCGCTAGACAACGGAAACTCAGTGGATGTTGTCTACATAGACTTCAGTAAGGCTTTTGACAAGGTGCCAACTAATAGACTGCTATTGAAGTTGGCAAACCTTGGTATTGCCGGACCTCTTTTAAAATGGATTAAGGATTTCCTAGTAGGTCGTAGGCAAAAAGTAAGAATAAATTCCAAGTGTTCCATCTGGAGACCAGTACTTAGTGGAGTACCCCAAGGTTCCGTCCTAGGTCCTTTACTTTTTATAATGTACGTTAATTATCTTACAAGTATAGTACAGTCTCCAATGTTATTATACGCTGACGATGTAAAAATTTGGCGAGTAATAACTGGAGACAAAGACGCATTCACTCTTCAGGCGGACTTAAATAATATGATAAACTGGTCTAAAGAGTGGCTAATGCCTATCAACTCGGAAAAGTGTGTCTACATGCACTTGTGGGATTCAAAGGTTAATACGTACAACATAGGGGATGTGTCATTACCCGTATTCCGGTCTCATAAGGACCTAGGGGTGGCAGTGAGCAGTGATCTTAAGACGACGGCCCATTGCCGGGAGGTCGCAGTTAAGGGGTTTCGAACCCTCTGGGCTTTAAAAAGGACATTCACTAAGCTTGATACTACCATGTTCACCATATTATACACATCCTTAGTGAGAACTAAGTTAGAGAACTGTGTTCAGGCTGCAAGCCCCTGTTTAAAAGGTGACTCAGACATACTAGAAAAGGTACAGAGGGCAGCTACGCGTGCAATTCCGGAACTCCGGGGTTTATCATATAAAGAGCGGCTTGAAAAACTGAACCTCTTTACTCTGTCCTATCGCAGACTAAGGGGAGATCTAATATTGATGTACAGAATACTGAGAAATGATTTCGGACCTAACTTATTCTCTCTCTTTCTTCCCATTAGATTGGGACACCTCAGAGGACATAGCAGGCGAGTAGAAAAGCCAAGAACGAACAAAATACCCGTGGCATACAGGTTTTCACACCGAGTCATCAATACTTGGAACCTGCTGCCTGAAGCAGTGGTATCCGCACCTTCAATTGACTCTTTCAAGAGAAGACTGGACACTCACAGAAGCATACTAGAAAAGGAATAACATAGGCCGTAGGCCTTCTGTCCTTACTACAGAAATCTGAATCTGAAATCTAAAGTATAGGCTTCATTAGTAAAAATTGTCATTTAATGTTCTTTGGAATGATTTCGGGATTTTGTGGCAGCAACAGGCTACTCGAATATGGGAACACCTTGAATTCATGTTATACAACGGGAACCAAACCAACTCAGCAATCCAAGTACGGAATGGTCGCCTAAACCGTTTTCAAGGTTGGCGGGCGGGTTGAGAATGTTGACAAAGTGTTTAGCTCACTACATTTAGGTCAGGAACTCCTTTTACTTTTCCAGTCTGTCGCTACACGGTGACCTTTTTGAAGACATTCGCTATATATTTAAAACGATCTAAACTATTAGTCTTTGAGAACTTGCCAAACGAAATCCAATTACAAATGAGACACCATGTGTGTACATATACACGTGTTTGCACACAAATTTGATGTCATTTTCGAAATATTTCATCCAAATTGTAAAGTGACTTAAAAATAACCCGTCAAGCTGAAAAGTTTGATGGCGATCTCGTAGTTGCCTTCAGTTGCCTGGTCATAATTCATATGTCCTTACAACCAGTAACCTGGGGTGAATCCATTACATTTATTGTGTAGTCATCTAAATCGTGTCGGTGAATAGTTTGCAATATTACGTAATTTTGAGGGCTCATTTTTGACATCTACTGCAAGTAAGGAATCCAAACCTTCCTGTAGTTTCGTCTTATTGCCGACTCCTGTGGATTTTCAAACATTAATCGAATCCACTAATAATAGGACCAATGAGTTTGCTACATTTAGTGACTTGGTCACTGAAAACAGGAGGAGATTCACGGATTCTTAAGATGAAAATTCACTGCCCATTCGTACACTTTACCTCCCACCACTAAAAAAGTTATTAATTCAGTTTTTAACTCTGTAACCAATTCTGAAATTTAAGTTTAACTTACTTTAAGACCCAGCAGAGAGACCTTATTAAGGGCTCTATTGAGATCTATATCTGCTGGACCACTGTATTTTCTATAAGGAGACTGATCAAAAATACCAGATCTGTCTTAAGGCCGTGTTATACCCTCACCAGGAGAATATTCCCTTCAGTGTGACCTAGAATAACAGCCCGAGTAGGTTCTTCCACTTCTTTGACCACTGTACTAGTAAGTTTAACTGGGAGATATTGACCAAATTTTTGTCCTGTTTTATAAATCTAACTAATCGTATCATCCTTCCAATCTCTTGGTAGTTCTGACTGCTTCAAAGACTTATAAAATACTATTCCCGGTGGTCCAGCAGTTTCCATTCAAGTATGGATATTGTTAAGACCGCGCGACTTATCTGGATTGATTTATTTCAGTGGTTTTACGACAACTTAATAATCACAGAATCCATGGACATTGTGTCATCATTATAACTAACAACTAATCGCTTATCGTCCACTGTGAAAACCACGGCCATATGACAGCATTAAGTGAAACTGTCTCATTACATTTATTGGCACCTCTACATGTACTGTGACTCACCTTGCATGATTCAGTGGATTCATTTTTGATAAGATGGAAACCCAGACTTCCAATATCAACAAAGTATGATAGTTTAAGCAGATATTTGCAAGTATATAAAAACTGGACAGTTTAGTTTTAAACAAAATAAACCTATAGGAAATCTACACTAGCTTACAAACCTGGCAAAGTGAGTCTAAGGACTTCTGGGAAGTGAATGGTACTCTACATCGTTAGTTTTTAGACCTCCCCATGTTATTTGTCATCATGTTGCTTTCTGACTGACAATAATGCATGCGCCTACCCGTGATATTAGTGTTCTTATTTTCTGTGTTCACATAACATGATCGGTCTGATCATAAATAATGGTTTGTTTCTTAATAATAAAATAGATTTATTCATAGTTGTAAACTCTGTTACAGCACGGATTCTTACTATCAGATGTACAGTATTACAATATATTTATTAAGTCACTATCCTCCATTCATCTTCAGTGGCGAAAATTACTACCAGTTTGGGTGTTGCAACCACTTTCATCCATCAGATATTGCAGTTCATACACTGCAATATATTTCTCGTTTTTCTTCAAAGGATAGATGGGAAAAATAATTCACTACGAAGTACAGTGTTTCGGTATAAAATTTCCAGTACTTAGCATCGTGATAGGTTGTAAGCCTTTCATAATAATGTGTGAATGCAAATAGTTAGGATTGATAATTATTCGATTCAAACAATTTTAAAACAAAAAAGTTTATGGATATATTAATAGAACCGGAAAATAGGTGACCCAAACGCTTGAATAGGTCACTGGGTTATTAGCGAATTGGAAGTATGTACTGCTTGTGGAGTTTTTGAAAACACTTAGATCTTACCATTTCTCTTCTAATGTATTACCTTTGTTTGTAGCAGATCCAATATTCCAGCTTCTGCCGGTCTAATCATTTATCATTTTATTGCTGAAAATGTACCATATCCTTGTTATGTACATTTTGGCTTGTTTTCTTTTAAAATAAATAGTTTTGTAAAACCCTTATTAATAAATCATAACTTCTCTAGTTAAGTGTTTTAAATACCCGTAATTTCTAGTTTGTCAGCTTTATGGACCAACAGTTATTTTTGTCGTGTAATTTTATGTTTTTGGTGATATTGCTCATGATCCGTTATCCAATTTTATCCGTTTAGGTATCACATTGTTGTGAGCATTTCAGACTCGTGCTGATTAGTCATCTTGTTGCTAATTGTCTCTCAACTTTCCCCTCTTACTGTTCTTTAAAAACGGTTTGGCGCCTCGTCATGTAGTTTGATTGCATTGGTATACATCTATTATGTATTTTGATGTGATCCAAGCATTTGTTTATGTTCTGTTAGTTGTCATACCTTCTGCAGTTTCATCTGTAGGAGATCAGACTCTTCTGTTTCATGAATGCAATCAGAAGTGCAGAGAGGAAATATGTGAATCTTCTTTGTCAAATAGACGAAGTTACTGGGATAAACACTTTAATTCTTCTCGAGTTGTAATCTTCGAGAATTCAATTCTTTGGGATTGCGAGTCTGAGTGCAAATATCGCTGCATGTGGAATACTGTTTCTGCACTTGAGAAAAATGGTTGGGCTGTCCCTCAATTTAATGGAAAGGTGAGTTAATCATCTTTCTGTAATCTTATTACTAGTGGCCGTTCATTCGTCTCTGTGGCATACAAGAACCAGCATCTGCCATATTTTCCCTCCTGAACTTTATGTTTAATTGTCACATGTTCAATAAATTCTACAGATATGTTCCATACAATTCTCCCATGTATAAAACTTGGGTGATGCAAATTATCGTAAGTTTTTAAACACTAATTCTGTATCTCAGTTTTCTATGAACGCGTGGGTTTGGTCAACAATATTTCACACAAGGGACACATCGTTTACTGAAGCAAGTTCATTTTTAAAAATAACATGTGATTTCACAGAAAATGGATTATTTTAGTGCACTTGCATTTGTTATTGCATCTGTTATGGTTTTACACCGGAGAATTTTCAATCCAAATCGATTTATTACTATCCTGTTTTCTGCTCTTCTATCAGCCTTTTTTGTGAACCATGTAAATTACATGACTTTCGTTAATTTTGACTATGGCTATAACTTGACTGTCAACATTTTATTCGGTAAGTTTATTTTAAATAATCTCATGATTCATACACTGTATTTCTTTCTTTATCCCAGGTATTTCAACTAGGTTAGCTACTATACATAAGTTACTGATCCCCTTATCAACAGATTATTTGATTGTTTGATAGCGATGTCTTTAGTCTCCAAGTGATTGTTTAGAATATCAAGAGGAAATTCAGCTTACCTTAGTGAAAATAAAGTGATGAGCGACAGAATTATGGAGAAATGGGGTTGATGTAGTACCATTTTGCACTCTTGATCAGCTTACGGCTGATTAATTACTGAGGTTCCAAGGACAGTAATACGTGAGTTCACATTATCATACCTGTAAGCACCCTAGTAAGTTGAAAGGAGCGAGGATGGAGGAAATTTGAATACTTTTTAAAACATGATACTTATGGCATGTGTGACATTTTGGTACATTAGAGGGCACTTAAAATATACTTTAGGTGTGTGATGTCATTTTCTAGTAATCATCATGTATAAGCTGTATCTGTCCGAATTCCACAATAATTAAATTTACAGAAAACTACTGAGTCATATATGATCTCCCAATACGAACATTCTGTTGAGTGACTAGCCCTTAACCTTATTCGTCTCAATATAAATTTATTTAAATCTAATATAGCTAGCAACCAGTTAAATCTAAGTTTGACTAATGTTCTTCCTCTACTTCAGTACAAAGACCTGATGAGCAATAAAATATGGTAAGAATGGTGATGGTTGAAAGCGTTCAGTTTTCAATTAGTAGGTCTTTAAGCAAAATCGTGTCCTAAGCATTTTAATTTGAGGAATCGGGTAGTTTCAATAGCTCAGATCTAAAGTGAGACTGAAGATTGAGTACACCGTCTTGTAAATGAGTTACAATAATGTTATTAAAGGTATAAAAGTGGCTCTCTTAAGTAGAGTACATTCGATTCCTATAACCTATAATTGACATGTTTATTCTTGTTAACATTATGATAATTAGTCGTTGTTTTAATTCAACAGGTCTAATCAATTGTTTTGGCTGGTTATTTTTCTGCATTTACGTTTGTGATTATAAAAGACAACCATATATTATTTATTGTTGGTTATCAGTTACATCCTCTATGGTTTTCATGCTGCTAGAATTATGCGATTTCGTGCCAATCGGTTGGATATTTGATGCTCATGCCTTATGGCATGCTTCTTCCATATTAATAATTATTCCTTGGTACAAGTGAGTGTAATTTATAAAGTAACGATTCCTACAGAATTAAATACTTCCTTCAGGAACAGGCATTTTTAATCACGAAAAGATATTATTTGGGTCCATTTGTTTCGTGTTAGTTTAGAACTTTACGTTGGCCAATAAATCGTATTTAACATGTAATAGTTGTACAGGTGTTACTACTTCGTGATATTTATGAGTGGTTTCATAGGTTTCTCTTGCTTTTTGTCTTGTGTAATCTTTTTAGCATAAAATTAGGCGTCACTTTTACGGTCATCAAATTGAACTATGGTAATATCGCGTGTGATCGCTATGCAGAGATTTTGTACGCTTTAATGGTAATTTTTGCTACGGATTGATATTGTCTAGGAAGCCACTAATAAGCAATAGGTACTGAGAGACCATTTTGTCCTATTTTGGGTTTCCTCAAAATTGTCTGCCTTCTGCTTCACACAGCTTAAACCTAGGGCTCACCAGGTTTCGCGGCGAGTAAAATTCTAAGTAAATGACTATATGAAATCCCATATACACTCCATCCACTTTGTGACTTCACAGTCCTCATTCGTTGTTATATGTGCCTCATCATCTCTCAAATTTATTGACTCCATGGCTTTTCACTGCTTAAAAAACATAAACTGAAGGATAATAAGACTGAAAAGATTTGGTAGTAATCAAACTTTCCTGTGTTCTTGACCAATAGCAAACTACTTGTCAGTAATTAATATCATTCAAATTTTTTTTTGAAAGAATCATTAATTTGTTACCGATTCGCGAATGTATTCTTTCCGTGTTGATTGTTTCCGACCAGTTAGTGATATTCAAAATTCGTTGGAAATTCTGTGAAACGTTGAAGTGCACTCGACTATCAGTGAAGATACACTCCCCTACAATTCTAGTTTGAGTGTATTTTCATTCTATCAAGTCAGTTATCTTGCTAAAACCCACCTCCATTTCATGCTGCATAGATGATGAGACACGTGTAAGATTCTTACTCCCATTACTGTTAAGTTACGCTAATTGCTGTTGGGTATGTAATCATGATGCTTAAACTTCTTTTGATATACTGGTAATTAATTTGTAGAAGCGCACTCTGTTGTTCATTAGTCATCAAAAATAACGCGTTTCTCAGTGCTTTGTCTCGTAGCAGCTATTCTGTGATATATTTTCACTTACAATAGTTGTCATCCAACCAACAGATATGTTTGTAACCCACTTCACGTACTTTAATTTGTGTTTAGATAACAACAGTAACTATCATAATAGATACACGGTCTCGCATTTGATTCCGGAGTTAAATTTCAATCAGAATTGACCTTTGTGTCTGTCTAATAATCTCTATCTTAACTCAGTGGTTGTAAGCTAATAGATTCCAAGGTTTTTGAGAGTATTTCAGTTAGAAAAATTTAACTTTTGGATTGTCAGAACACAATTTTCTTCGTGTAATTAAAAACAAATAATCGATTACTGAAAAATTTGTTTGGCTCAATGTTTCGGAGTCAAATTAAGTGAATTGGAATAACCAATATAACAAATCTGTAAATCACTAATTTCAAAAATTCATTAATAATATGTGCATCAACTTTTTGTATTATCAGTGATTAATTGTGTCATCAATACCCTTGATTTTTGGTCTAAAAAAATCGTACCCGTTGTTTGGAGTGAGGTGAATTGAAACCACTGAGAAGGTATGGAAGTACTTAAGCCTACAGACGTAGCAAACTTTATTTGTCTAGTTTCATAAATACGGAAATGTAATTTGAAAATTCTCGTCAATTTTATTCAATCCTTATAGAAACTGATAAGGATTTCCTTAGTATCAGTCATATTATTAGTATCTCGTTTCATTATCACTTCAGATTTATCATTGCTGATTGTCTTTATCTATTGGGACAAGCTCCTTCAAAAAGTAAACCGAAATTCAATCGTCTGTCTGCCTAAGAAATTAGTATCAACAGTGAACCATGCTGTGATTCTCTAACAATCTTCCGATTGATTTGCGTTTATTTTTGTTTCGTGATTTCTTTATACTATGATTTTTTATTTCAAGTGTCATGATTACTTTACCATGACCGTTTGTCATTTTAACCCAGTTAAAGGTTAACTACACCTTTTAATCGAATATACAGCTTGATAATAAATTTCTTGTATTGTTTGTTCTGCATTTTTTTAGTTTTTTTAATTCCAGAAAAAGTAATATTGTAAAATTCATTAATATTACCTAATGTAATTGAGTATGTTAGCCAAATAAGTTACATCAATCATATTACGTCGCAACTCACTCACCATCTAATGTTTGTGCACTGGGGTTTGTGTCACACTGTATTAGTTGAATGCTTGCGCTCATGGTTACCAAGATGATGGGGTTGTGTGTATTCACAATTGATTGATCACTGGGTGGTGACCAATATCATGTGTGTCAAGTCCTTATTAGTGCAGATCGATTGCTATCGACCATGATGCAACGTGGCCACCAGTCTAGGTGACTCGACACTGCGTGCACTATTGAGATTAGATGGTGGTTGGAGGTAGTCGACAGGAAACCCTAGGTCCGGGTTTCGTGCTACTTGGCGCTCGTCAGCAAGTTGTACCTGTAATCTTGAGGGAACTGGTGCTCCCTGACGGGTTCGATCCCGTGTCACCCAGCTTCACAGTCAGAGACGTTACCACTGAGCTATCCGGGCCGCGACCAACCTCCTGTAGGACTGAGACGTAATCACAATTGATTGATCACCGAGTGGTGACCAATGTCATGTGCGTCAAGTCCTAATTAGTGCAGATCGATTGCTATCGACCATGTGTGTATTGATAGCAGACTGAAGTGTTATGTTTCAAGTTTTATAAATCCTATCGCTAACCACGTTTTAAGTTAGATGGGTGATATTTATAAGACTGTCTAATGCGTAAAACATTTTTGGATATTAGGTTATCCATTCAAAGACATGAAAAGTGAAATCGTAACCAGCCAGTACAGAAGTAATGTAGTTTCATCGGGTTTTGTTAAAAATACTTCACTGTTCAGTGATTTACACACGTGTGTTATTTATGTTGGTTTGTCAATGCATTACAATTTCTGTTGAAAAGTCAACAGACCCTAGTGATCTTAAGTACCTAAAACTATGTGAATTAGTACGGACCATAAATTACTCATCAATATTAAAAAGACTAATCCACTAATGACTTATTAGGTGTGAATTTGAAGTAATATAACGGAATAGTGTAAAAGAAGGCAGAATAAGTGTGTTTATTGTGAAAAGTTATGAAGCATTTACATGATACATATACATAGCCTCCAATAATCGTATCTCTCGATGTATTCTGCAATCCGAACTGAATCGTTTGGTCTCCATATGTTATGCCGACGCCGTTCTTCCTAAATACTCAAACTGCACTTTGTCTAACAACTTCTGCAACTCCAATGCCATCTTCCGCTACTTACAAATAGTCTTTTGAGTAGCACCTACTACCATATGGAACTAGTCCTAATGGATCTAGAACTTCAACAAAACCTAATCGAGAACTCAAAGTATGCAGCATGAAGCTATATTGTATTATTGTGATCGTTTTAAACACGTAACTGTATAGTGGATGTATTGGCTATTCACTCGTTAGCAAAATGGAGATATGTCTTGATCTCCACCTAGTTATTCTGTGTCTATTAACAAAGCCCAGTTATCCAAATACTGGTCTATTTATCATCAGATATTAAACAGCCTAATATAATTCACTAGCAGGGAGATGTACATGTTAATGAAATAACAAGACGTGACTTTATATAACTATTTGGTTAGTTTAGCTTCCCGACATGCTTGCATTCCGCTGTTAAGTTTTACAGCATGAATTCAGATATTCACTCACTATTATCTCGTGTTGCTGAAGATTTGAGGGAGTTCCGTTGACTGTAATTGACTTCCTGTCTTTTTTAATGGATTAACACTTTAACGTAACTGAGGCGGCTGTCGTGCGCCATCATTTTTGATAAACAGATGAGCACAGTCTTCAGACGCGATTATGGATGTCTCACATCTCAGTGCGTGGAGAGAAATCTGTTTAAATTTTGAGTATTGTTTGAATTGTTACAAGTAGTTGACTATTCACAGTGAAGACATTTGCGCGATTAAAATATTCAGCTGGATAACATTGTATTGTTCTGTAAACCAACTCGGCAGTACCAGTTTCAAGCGTTACTAAGGGACGTTGCTATAGCAACATTAGATGTAACAGAAACAGACAAACCTGATACCCCAGTGCCTTCTAACCAACTAACCAAAAGATAAGAAGAAAAACCATAGTTGCGAGGAAAGGTGTGTTCAGTTATATTCAGGGACAAAGGAACGTTATACCGGCTATTTATCAGAGTGAAAGTGTCTTACATCATGTCATGCTGTAGTCTTCTGGTGGTATTTAACCAAGCACTTCAAACTAACCTTAATTCTCAAAACCAACATGGCTAGGGTCAATGCTTGACGCTTACTGAACTAGTTATTTCAGAGGAGCAGGTGTTTACTGTTACACTTCTTATTTCACCTGGAGTCATTACCAATCGATGTCATACTAACTTCGGGTGGACAACTGAATCCCTTCAAATTCATTTATGGCAGAGTGGTAGGCACTGATGATGTCACAGGTATTCAGTGTTTGACAACGCTTCTACCAGTAACACCTTCTAATATATTTCGTTCCCGCCCAGAGAAATCAAAAGACAGAGTCGAGGAGATCGGAAGAGTATATTTGGCGATGACCAATATATCGGAATTCTCTGATCTAATCTGGCTAGCGATTGCGGTTGATGTTGAGCACGGCGTTACCACACGTGGTCTGGTGCGGATGACTGACCGAGCGCCTTCAGCTAGGTGAGTCCACTAAAACATATGGTCAGCATCCAATGTCGAAAACTTAGTGCTATTTATTTTGGGGATTTATTTACCGCTACAGCACTAGTGTCCATTTACTTTTAGCCAGGCACTGCTGTAATTTTTCGAAATGACAACCACTGTAGACCAAGGTTGTTAGCCTAGTGTGGTCACAAATCATTTCGAGAGTAGTAGTGGTTGGATAGTGTCAAGTTATACATTATGAGACCTGGCAGCCGACGAACATTTTCTCTAGATTAGGTGCATCGATTGGATTAGTCTTCGATATCTAGCACTGCAGCTTTGTTCCAACTATCCTGAGTTTCACATCAAATTTAATATCAAAACATCCCCGGAAATTAATTTTTCAGTGACACCAGGACCTGAATGTGGAATTTTTGAGACATCCTGCATTTTATAGGGCTACTAAGTGTAGCCTTCCATGTGAAGGGTCACACATTAGTCTGTAGTGGATTGTTATTAGTCTCCCAGTTCCATTAGGACACATACTTTCTACTATGACCAACGTCTTAGCCTAGAGAATTTAGTTTAGCTTTTAAAACCACCACATTTCTAAGTATTGAATGTAGCGACAAATGAATCCACAAAATAAAGTTTTGTGAGTCTTTGACATTGATCTTGATCTCATTAGTTATTAGTAACCCGACATCTGACTCTAGTTAGATCGGACGAGTAATCGTTATCAAATGATTGTTGCCAAATTCGATTGTACCAAGAGGATTCGACTTCACATTGTATTTTGAAAAGCCGAAGTATTGATAACTCTGGGCTTTTACGACCTAGGGCTTTATTCTCCATAGTCATAAAAAACTTGTATTTAGATGAATCATTTCTGTCTATCAGGTTTATTATACTCTGAAGTGCATACACGTCACGATGCTTATGACAGCGGTGTTTCAATTTCCTCGGCTTTTTCTTAAAGATTTGAAAAGTATTCTGTCCCCTTTTAGAGCTATAAGCCACATGGCCGGTAATTGGAGCATAGCAGTCAAAGCAATACGCCAGGATGTTGTATAAGTCAGAAAGCATATTGTCAACATTATTATTTTGGCGAGATAAGATTCCTATGGTGAGCATCGAAAAAAGGTTCAGTGCGCTTTCAAGTTTGTTGATCAAACTTCCTGCTTCAGTACATTATTGGAGCTTTAGAGTTCAATTGTATAGTGTTTAGAGAATGAATAATACGTGTAGGGTCAGTGAAATGTCACTGAGCCCTAGACAAATCATCCGGCAGTTGGGTCACTCAATATCGAACAGATCATCGATCCCCTTCAAGGTCAAGGGCAACCAACGCGCATAAGTCAATCGTGTGCCATGCGTTGGCCAATGTGGTGATGGTCTCACTATATTCTTTGTACTTATTCTTATTAATATATTCCCGTAATAACGTCCTTTGTGCTGTACGGTCTTCAGAGCGTCCATAGTACCTTGATACGACGAAGTGGTTATCTACGTTGTGTTGACCGCGAGGTGTGATTTCGACTTAAACTGCTGGTCACACCACTCCCGTCTAATTAGAGTAGGCCCCCAATCATCCGACGTAGATCATCCACGTTGGTGATTTACATGCTCAATATGACTATGATCACTGGTAAAAAAAACTGATAATCGACGTGCATTGAGATAGAGTCTATATTGATTGTAAGTAACGGGTCAAATATATTATTCTTCCTAGTCGATTTTCAGACCTGTTGGACCAATCCACAAAGTTCTGATGTTTGAACTAACTTGGTAAATCGACCAGATACCGAAGTAGAACCCCAGATTAAAGTCACCTCCGATGATTTTAAGCGTATGCAGTTGATGCAAAGAGATGAAAAATATGTTTGTTGGTAACTTACCAGAGTCAGTATTTATGTGAGGTAGTTTGCATATGTATCCCGCCAGTAGATAATTTTGCAGTCCGCAATTTATGGTAACCCGAATGGAGTCATCTATAGCATCAAGACATTCATTCTTAAATTTACACGCCTGAACGTTTGAACGGACATTGATAATTGTACCCCCTCCCGTTCCGTGACGTCTGTTGGTTTGGTAGAAAACGTACTTACCTACGTGTGAGGAGTAATCGGATATAGGTAATTTGCACCACGTTTCCGTAATAGGTACAATGCTTGGATCTATAAGGAATAAAAAGATTTTAAGATGAGTAATTTTATTAGACAGAGAGTGGGCGCTGAATGAAGAAGTAAGAAGCCGAGAGGTGTCATAATGAAGCAGGCTAGAGTATAGAATACAAGTGGTAGTTCCATGAATACTCGTGGGGTTGGCTAAGGTAAGAGTTATGCTCTGTGATGGAGGAGATTATGCAACTTTGTCATCATTTATGATATATTCACCGTTGCCGACAGGAGGGCCAGGGGAACCGCAACAAAGTCATCTAATTGTCATTCATTATAATATCTGATAGACGTATAGTGTACATCTTGGAGGCCGGACCAAGAAGGGTATTGGGTCTATTTATGAGACCAAGTGGTTGTTTATAATTCGAATTACTTTTTATACCTGATGTATGTGTAACACGTTCCAGGTGTTTATTTCCAAGGTTTATGGCTTGTTTTAGCTCCTTCGCAATTTGGAGAGAATCGAGTGTTGTTAAACACACTCGCGATGGTTTGCAAGGTCCGAATATATCGACGTTCAGTGTGTGAGCGGTTATATAGATGTTATGACTATTTTGCCCATTAGCCGTTGCACAGTTACTGTATCTATGTATTGCACCGTCAGAAATTCGAACGGTATTATCTGATTTGTCAATGGCACAACTACTTGGGGTTAGATCTAAGTCAACGTTTTTTAGGAGGATGGACGTTAACTACATTGGGGTTACTTCCTTCTGGATTTTAAACGTTAAGAGACTTAGGAGACCTTATCGTTGGTGGCATATTTGTAGTCAGTGGTCCTATTAGCATCAAACTTGATTTTATGACTTCTCGGATTATGATACTTTTGCGAATTTGACGATAGTGGTCTGTAACTAGCCCTTCTTGCTTTTTGCTGGAAAGGTGTTTTTTCTGAGAGAATCGCAATATCCTTGAAAATCTGTTTCTGTGTCATCGTATTGGAGAAAGTTAGGAACTCACTGGCGTCTACAGATGAGTTGAATTTGAACAAGATCGGTGAGTACATTCCAGAATGACTTCTTTTTAATCTTGTGTACACACATGGTACATGTATCATATTGCTGGCTCCAAGCAGACTAGACTTGGTATTTTCAAAGGCACATGTGTCCGTTATATTAAGCACAACTCCATTCCTAGATCACCTCATTCTTTCAAATACTTCAAAAGCAATGCGATCTGCGAAATTATTTTTGTCATTCATCTGATATAGAGCCTCTGCGAGGTTGAGGTTGATGAGATACTTAAGCGAATTGAGAATGTTTGTATCAACCTGTAACTTTTCTATATCATCCGTGCGGTTGAGGATGTGAGTATCATGATTGTTTATCAATAGACACTTCAACATGTCTGGTATGGGGGGAACTGGGATAAGCTTGTCTGCTTCTTGATGAACGGAGTAGACCGTTCCCTTGAAACTGCCGTAAATCGCGTCGGTAGTGTCGTTAGGTCGTGTCATTTTCCTACGTTTGGCTGGACGCCTAGAAGCAGGGGCTTTCACTTCTCCTTGAGGCATGATAAGCAACTGTTAAGTAGCAGATGGATTGAATAATGTGTTGGAAATAGAAACGAGTTGAAAAAATTGAGGCCGATGGCCCGAGAGAGTCTGGAAATCAAAACCTATGTTAGAAACAACAGTGAATTTATCGTGAGGATTGGCGAAAATGTCAAATACAAGATAGGGAAATGGCAGGGAGATCGCAGTAGAGATGTCGTATGTATATTAGTACATGTATGGAGGAAAAATAGAACATAAACGTGCATATTGAGTAAATTTTAACATGTATTTTACACGGAAAGATAGTTTTATATGATAAAGTATACTAGAACCGTCGATTTTTAGTACAGACGATCAAAGTAGATACGCTATGTAGTACATACATAAACTGAAAGTCTGCACTAGTTAAATTTGAAGGTGAAGAGTTAAGTGGTTTATAAGAGTAAATGGCGCATACACAGATCGTAATTCCAATATTTGTATCTGACTAGAGTGATCACTTGAGGGTCTAATCAGTCGAATTACTTATTTTAGTTAAGAACTCGAAGGTAAAATGGTGGAACAAACAGGAATCTACTAATGACTACAAAATTTATATCAGTATAAACATGTCACAGCAATCTCAACGGAAAGACAGCCAGTCGATACTCGAACATTGTGTTTCGCGTACGTGTGAGGTAGCTTGTTGCACCATGGAATATAGACTCGGATTAGTAACTTTGGGAGAAATATAGAGTAGTCCACGTTGTCTCGCTGATAACGTTGTCCGAAATCATACCTATTCTTGGAGTGTTTGACTATTGTCTCATTGTTGGAGATTTCAACGCTCATCATACCAGGTGGACAGCGGTTGCAGCTTCAGGTGGACGTTCTGACAACAGCCTCCTGTCAACCATTATTGGATGTGCCATTGTACACCGTATCATAGAAAACCGATAAATATTGACCTGGAACAATGTTCGTCATTGCTCGGCTATGTCTTTACTCACCACTGTAGTGACATCGCCGACATTTAGTACCTCTCCCCACTAACAAAAAGTGATCACGTTATAATGTAATTTAGATTCCGGACACATAAAAAGAGTACCCCCCCACCCAGTCCCAATATCTGGCGGACTAAAATTCCGGCCATCAGAGAGTGTACTATCTCAAAAGCTGGGTCGATCAACACAGATGGGTCGATCGAAGAAAAATGGAATAAGTTTGAAGCCGTATGCCAGTATGTAACATCGCCGTTAACCGCTGGTCAACACGTAGACTATCAAATCACCCTACATGGATTGACAAGGAAACCCGAAAGCTGTTAAGGCATAGGAAGTACCTCATGAACTCGTGCTTGTCAACAGAGCACGAACTGTTTAGGTGTGGATACCAAGAAATTCAGGGTGTATGTTAAAAGGCCGTGAATAGATGATACACCACATACAAAAAGCAGTTAGCGTATGATACTCTTCCTTACCGAAATCGATTATTTTCATACACTAGACGAAGAACAAAACTCAGTGAGGGTATTTTTATAGTACTGTTGCATGGAAATTCAGACATATCGGCTGAATCATATCTGGACACGGCTGATGCGTGATCAAACTATGTCAGAAAAGTCTACTCTACGAGTATTGTTACCATTAGTTGTCATAACCACACCCCTGAGATATCAGCTATAGGACCCGTACATGTGACTGAGGAAGCCGCTCTTCAATTTCTCATTAGCCTCAGACTTAGTAAGACACCGGGTCCTAGTGAGTCACTTTCACGAAAGCTGTCATCTCTCGCAAACACTATTTCAAAGCCACTCATGATGCTCTACAACGTGTCTTCTTCCCACACTCAATTCTCTAGGCATTGGAAAGATGCTATAGCTAGTCTTATATTTTAAGATGATCAGAGACGGATCATATCTAACTGCTGACCTGTCAGTCTAGCCAGCATAGTAGCTAATTTACTCGAAAAGACGATTCGGGTTCAGTTACTAGGTCACACAGAATCATACAATCTGCCAAAAGTCCAGAGTAAAAGTTTGTCTGTCGATGTGATATTCTTAGATTTCAGCGAAGCACTTGAAAAGTTTTCTCAATTATGTCTTATGCAGAAACTCTCGAGCACTGGAACAACAGGTGCAGCACAAGAATGGGTAAGAAAATTCTTCTGTGGCAGAATTCAGAGAGTGAGGGGGAATAAGACACTATCTGAATGATAGCTGGTCATAAGGGACGCACTTAAAGACACTGTCTTAGGTTCCTCGAGAGTGCTTGAGTTAGTGACATTATGCCAAAATATAGCAAACATTAAGTGGTGAGGCTGGTCATCTTGATCTCCAAGCTTCCCCCAAGGAATTAGTTAAATGATCTCAAAGTTTTGGCCTGGAACTGACTTTTAAAATGTGTGTGCGCATTGGACACGGTAACAGTTATCAGTATATTATCAACAGATATCGCCTACATGAGTGCAGGGAGCCATATACTTAGAACAAACAGCAACTCAAGAATTAAAAGCATTTGAGAATTGCAACTTGGCAGCCGCCAACAGTTTTCGGGCATTATGGTCACTTCGTCTGGCATCCAAGTGCTTTGACGAGATGTTTCCGGTTTTATATCTCACCTATGTTTGACTAAACCTAGAGTATTGTGTCTATGCAGCTATTCTCTGTTTTGGTAATGATATTAACACAATAGAGCGCGTTCAGCATGTGAATACAAAGTAAGCAAGGGGTCTTTTCAAACTCTCTTACGATGAGTGCCTAAAACGCTTGAACCTACCCCCTTATCATTACGTTGAACGTGATTTGACCTTATATTGGTATTCTGTATCTTTAATAAATATTTGCGTGGTAAAGAACTAATCATCTCGAAATCCATAGCAAGGAGATTCAAAAACCACGATCTCATAAGTTTAGGATGGTATTCACTTTTTCTTATCTAGTAGTCAATAGTTGTAGTACCCTACCAGAACAAGCGGTATCATTCATATGAATGAACATTTCAAGGAGAAGCTGAACGTTTACTGTGAAACAAACTGTAAATATTAACGCAGGTTCATCAATCTACTTTTCTTATAACTGAAGATTAAAGATTTTGGATATTGGATATAGGTTAGATTTATGAGGCGCAAAGGTTGATGGTGACGTTGTGCTTTAAAAACGTGGGGATCCAGTCATCTATTGTTTCTTTATAAATGGCTCGTGAAGTATGTGTTTTCGTACCATATATGTATCATATTATTTTAAAGCTCGTTATGAAAGATGGGCATTTATTTTGAATGATTACATGATATTGATATCATCACGAAAGATTGTTTCCTTTGTATAGCATAGAATTCACAGCATATAATACCTCAACAAGTTCCTCTTAACCTCCTCATATGTCTCGGTAGATATATAAATGCGTAACAATTTTTTTGTTTTTACTTCACTACTTTATATTTTGCTTTCCAATCGTATCTTCGATGCCTAGTCTTTCCTATTACCACTGATACTTTTAGTACCCCTTCTATTCTAGGATTTGGCCTGGTAACTTTATTTCTGTGCTAATGTGATATGACAACATGAATTAATGTACATGCCTACCTGGCTCTACGTTGTTACTGACTGACTGACTAAACTTCTATTCAGCCAGTCATAATCCGAGTGGAGCCTAGGACATTTGCGCCTCATCCCATTGAACTCTCACTAAACACTGTTCACTGGTCGGCTATCACCTTGTTTAGGTAACATCACCAATTACAGAGATTAAGTTTTAATCGTTTATTATCTCGATCATGTCAAAACAATAGTTTTCATTTTCGATATCTTGTTCTTTTTGTATGTTTTGTACTTTCAGTGGGGTATTGTTTCGACAGCTCTCGAGGAAGGGAGACGTGAACTTGTAATTTCTGGGAAGGAAATTTCAGAAATGGTCGAAACGGTGGGGCTTGACCAAAGGATTTATGATCTAAAGAAGCTCAATTTTCTGGAAATTTCACATACTTGTTTAGAATTTCTGTCCGATGATATATCGAAGCTTTCAAATCTTGCGCAACTATGCCTTACATCAAACATGCTAAAAGCTGTCCCATCTAGTCTTGGATCTCTCCATTGTTTACGATCTTTGGACTTATCCTTTAACAACATTTCAATGATCCCTGACATTTTCAACCATTTGCCTAATCTATCTAGTCTTATTTTATCTGGCAATAAAATACAAAATATACCATCTATTCAAGGGTTAAAATCACTACATGAATTCTCAGCTTCTAAGAATCAATTGACTGTATGTTATCTTAGGTTTTTTTGTTGACTGTTTCGGCTTTTAGTTACTTCCTGAAGGAATCGAGTTGCTAACTAATCTGGCAGTCTTGGATGTTTCATATAATAACATTTCTAATTTACCGAAGGATTTGTTTAATTTATCAAGTCTCAAGAGTGCGAACTTTTCAGAAAACTCTTTAACTGATTTTCCGGCCAATATTCATCGTTGTCGCAAACTAAATGTTTTAAAGATTCATGGAAACCCTTTTAAAGATAATCGGTTGAAAAGGCTTTCTGTCGATGAACATTCACCAACTGCGCTTTTAGCTTATCTTCGTCGTTTGGACGAAACAGGAAGCAAAAAAGGAAAGAAAGTTAATGACAAAAATTCGTCACTGAAAATTTCAACCGAACCTGAAGAAATGAATAATTCCACCACTCGACTACCGGAAGTTACGGGAATTTCAATACCGCATATTGTCATTCAGCGCCCAAGTGACGATGAAGTATGTTTGTTCCCCTACAATTCTATCAGTATTTCGGCAAATTCTTGAGATTATTTCAATCTATAAATTGGTTAAATAGTTTTATAAATTGTATATAAATTATAACGCCTATATCTGTCTTTAACTAATAAGCCATAATGTGAACACAGATTCTGCTTAAAATTATTTGCACTGAAAACCTAACAGAAATCAGTAACACTAATACTAAATTTCCAACGGATTTATAATATTTTTTAACTCAGTCCTGCCTAATCTGAATTCGTCGGAAAATTGCTTTTAATGAGGTCATCCTAAAATTAATGTAACTAAGATTTTGTTTTCAAATGGTGTTTTAGCTAACTACATATTAATAAATCGTATAATTAGGATTTCAGTACTAAGATTTTTTAAATATTGTACTCTACATTCTTGTTGAAATGGTTTACTTGATTATTTCCGTTGAGCGAAACTGATATTCTAATATATTATCAACAGGTTGTTTCGAACCTTTGAGTAGTTATGTTGCTATCAGTTGATACTGTCCTACTTTTTGCATATTTGGTATCATTTTTAAGGTACTTGTTGATTCAAATACAAGTCAGATTCAGTTTCACTACTGTGTTTTGTATAGGTGAATAATTTTAGTTTGGTTTTTAACTTGGAGTAAAGTATAGATATAAACGCTGTTGAAAATAAGGAAATGTTAATTAAAATGTTATAAGAGTTCTGAATATAACAGGATATGCTAAATATATTTCCGATAAATAAGAACTAGCACCAATCAGTCTCTTGAATAGGGAATAGGGTTTTGTTACCTTGTCGTACTAATTGTAAGCACAATAGTACGTTCATAAAATGAATGTCTATTGAACTAATGAGATTGGTACAAAAGCAAAAAATATTCAAAAAGCGTCATTAAATTTTTAGAAATAATCTTTGTATGACTAAACAAACACCATAACTACCAACCAAATTGTTGGCAGAGAAAATCATTTAGTATCATACATTGGGTGTTAGACCATGAGATGATTCGGTCGTTCGACTAAACCTGACAGTTTAGCCCATTTAAAGTGTGAGTGGAGCTACCTTGTAGGACTTGCTGTCTGTCCAATAACTATCATAGCTGGCTGGTTTTTGTTCTCAATTGGTACGAATCTTAAATCATCCATAAGACGTAAAACCACCCTTTTTACTTCAGTTGTGTTCGTCGGCGGTATACATAGGATATACAACCAAAGTGGGATAAAAAATAGCCCCTTTACAAACCGAATACATGTCATCTGAATAGTGACTTTCATCCGAGGGATTGCTTAAACAGCTAACTTCCGTTTCAAATAGAATGAAATTCTCGGTAGGAGGTTGCCGCGGCGTTAGGATTTGCGTGATAGATTGCTACTCATCAGCATATGATGTGAAACAATCGTTCAACATATCTTAGGAAAGGTTAGGTTCCTTATATTAAGATCACTAACCGCGGCTTGCTATCCCGTTTCATCGTTGAGAAATAACAGAATGTGATCAAAATGGTGAGAGATCGACAAGGGTGATGTTATTCTGAGTTTCCATACAGTATTATCTTATGTGGATTAAAAAGTAGTCAGGTACCTCAGAAGAATTCAGTTGTCTGCATTGACATCAGTTATAGATGGGAAAGTGAAGGTTTTTAGTCGTTTATAGGGTTCATTTCTAATAAACACTTCCGACACCAAATGTAACAAATGTTCTAATTGTCCGTTGTGAGCTCGTGCTAGGGAATGATGGTAAATCAGTTGGTGAGGTTGTGAATCTTCATCGACTGAGTTGGTTGGGCAACGTGTTGCGCATGCCTGAACACCGATTACCACGACGCGCAATGCTAACTAATGTTGGGGACGGTTGGAAGAAAGTAAAGGGCGGCCAAACCAGAACGTGGTATCAGTGCTTGAAGTCACTAACTTCTAGTCTGAGCCATGTTTGTAGATGCAGACTACTTGGTTGGGGTCCTCGTGACTATCGTAACCAATGGTTGGAGACTCTAGGTAACATGGCTAAGAATCGATCACAATTGTGTAGGTGTATACACTCTTTGTTTTCTCTTAAACCGCGGGATTAAGATTAGTTTCTACCTTTATTTTTACGAACTAATTCTTTCTTCCTGTACTATATATGCAATCTTTTATATATTACCACCACTGAATTCACTACTTCTATGAATCCGGTATTCAGCTTGTTTTCCTAATGAGGTATGGCAACTTGGACCGATGCACATATGTGCCTGGTCCTGTGTTGTAGCTGACTGACTGACTTACATTTTTGATGAAAGAAGTATCGTAAACTCTGTGTGCTCTGTATGTTAGGTTGCAGTGATCTGAAAATAATACATTCTGTGTATTATCTGATGTCATATTTTGCTCTGACCACTAAAGTATTTCACCTCATCTCTGTCAAAATTACATAACACATACTTTTAATTTAAATTTACCAATCATCTGAAATGGCTAAAGGTCGTAGAACCACTTTTGATTCATGAACTACAAGCAAAATCTTCATCCTAATTGGTAATTTCCAAACAACTTTGAAAATGGTCAGTTGTGGTTTGTCACAACGTTTTGCTGGTTACAGGTGGCATTGTTTTCAACCTGTTTCCTTTTTTATAGCTTGAATATTATTAAAGTAAGTATATAGTATGAGTTTAGAGTCTCTGAAAACAAAAAGATCGGTTTACCAATCAAATGATCTGGTCTTTATTTGTTTGTTACATTTTATTTATAGCACAGAAATTAAGGTAGTGCTAAGCACAATAATATGCACCACACAAATGTAATGATAATTCGGTAAAGGAAAACAAGAGGTGAAGGTCGTACAGTCCATAAATAAGTGAATACAAAAAACAGTTAATAAAAATTATAGTTCAGTTTAAAATAGCCATGAAAAGGTTTTTTTATATTTAAGGCAGTTCGTTTAATTACCTTGATGTATGTAATGGAAAACCAAAATTTATAATACAATTCTCAGATATCCTTGATGCATCGGCACCAAATTTTCCAAAGACATAGCCAAACCTATCCTTTTTCTACCCTGTTAATGTTGGAGGTGACAGGTTTGAATTACACACGTAGCTTCAGGAAAGTTTTACCCAATTTCGTCCGTTCTAACGATAGTTATAAAATCGACCATTCGTTAACTTGAAACAGTTTAGAGAAGACTGGATTTTAAAAAGACACAATCCCATGGTATCCAGTGACTAAAATAGGTTTTTATACCGTTTGTTTCATTAGAATTTTGAAGTTCATGGTCACCGTTAGATTAGAATCATGGTTTTTCAACTTCTCTATGTGAATCTTCCGTATGAACCAACAACACTGGATGTTTCCTTTTCGTCCTCTTAGTTTCTTACAAACACTACGTGAATCCAATGAGTATGACTTCTCTGTTTAAGGCTAACACTACTGAAGTCTAGATTTTTATATTAGTGTGGCAAATAACGTCACCAATAAGCTTACATTTGGTTAACATTCAATCATTTTTAAATTAGATTTAAAGAATAATTATTTGACCACCCTGTCTATTGCTATTGTATTTGCTAATATTTTCAGGTTTGTGTAATTCGTCGTTATTATACTGTTTTTTAAATACTTTAGGAATATCAAATTAATCAGACTCACTCAGTGAAAACTGGCCCACGCCCTTACATCGTTGCCTGTACGGTTCATGGTGTAGAATTTCCTTCTGAAACTAAACTGAAAGCTTTTCTACGAGCTCAAGAAAATTGGCATCGTGATATTGGCCAAATGCGTCATCATGCAACTTTAGCTACTCATGATTTACAACTAATCCGTTTTCCACTTGTTTACACTTTAAAGGAAGCAAAATCATTTCTGGTAAGTAAATATTATTGTAAATATTATTATATTACGTCTAATAATCTTTGTTTCTAGTTAGCATAGTGAGTGTTATATAGTTTTCTCCTTTGATTATAAAAATGAATTCCCCTAAAAATCTTTTGAAACGTAAAAGAGTATCATCAGTCTAGGGGACAGTAGAAGTGCTTCATATCAGTAAGTATTTTCAAAAGTAATTCTAACAAAAGATAAGCAAATAAGCAAAAAATAAGTTCTCTAATATAAGCTGTCAAGTTTCAAAACAACACATTAAGAGGGAAGTAGAGAAATAAACGTACATAACAAAGTATGTAAATTAAATTAATACCAGGAGTAGTGAAGAAATAAATGGGAAAGACTTTAAAAATAACGATTAGATCGGTAAAAGGCGGTACAAAATTCCAATGTAATTTTAGTCTAATGCATTGGCTAGAGCGCATCAGTTTCATATGCCCACCGCTTTACGCAACTTTATCCAACAGTCCTAAGTACTCGGAAGACATCACATTGTTACACTAGGAAATGAACTCAATGAGAATTAGATTATTTCGCTCACAGTGTAAATGGTGTAAGTTAAAGATATTATGACAAGGCTTTTTAAATAGGTTTTTTGAATTTTTTAAACTACGAATTTCTCAATTCTAATGTAATATTCTCAGGTAAGTAATGGTTGTTATGCTATGGCAGATGTTGATTTTCACGAAATCTGAAGCAACATATTAGGGAGCGATAGAAACTCATTTGAAACGTTCTTATTTTTGCTCAAGATATCCATAACAAATGGTAAATTTGATCATTGAGCTACTAGGTTACAAACATTGATTCAAATTTACTCAGTAAATCTGATCAATAGCTCTCAACAATTCATACTTATCCACTCTTAAACATCTAGTCTTTTTAAGGTTTCTGAAATCTCATTTTCATATATGAGCTATATTTATTTGTTATAAGGGTTTTTTTTAAAAAGATTATTTTTATCACATGTAATTTTACTCTAAATAGAAAATTACAAACACTATGCAGAATACTGATATTAAAATCTTGTTGATTCAAACAGTCTGTTCTCCATTACAATTGTTTTGTATTGTGTGAAGTATAAATGTTTGAATGTATTTGTCTGAAGTTTACCAGATGATTTTCTTTTGTATATCACCAATGCTTACATCAAAACAATTGTCTTAAAGTCGAATGTATAAACCTGTATTTGATTTTGATAGGGTATATTAATTTCATTAACACTATATCTATCAATAGTAATTGTAAACGTTTATGAAAATTTTATTTAGGCATTATAGTATATGCCTTTTATTTTAACATGTTTGTATATATGAATATAATTTTGTGTATACATTTTTGTTTTTCATAACAGATTCATCCGTTAAATAGATCTGTTAATGGTACTGGTGAAACATTTTTAAGACAATTAGTTCAAGAAGCACAGTTAGATAGAAAATCTCGTAAACAAACAAAATTTAGTCAAGTTTATCGTTATTTGAATGTATTGGATATTGAAAGTGCAATAGCTTCAAATGTATTCAGTGATGTGTTGGTTCCTATTGTTGTGGATAGTACACCAGTGGTTATCTCAGTCCCTCCACTTACCAATAGTCATCACACACGTGTGGGTTATTACTGTGGTTTTTATAGATTGCTAATAAATAATAACCTTGGTGATTATCAAAGTAAAATTCATTTTCTATTATAGCTATAATAAGTGTGTGTAAACAACGGTCGCTCATATCGGGTAGCATAAATATCTAGGTTAAACTTTGATTAGTTCTACTCTGTTATTTTCTACTCTGGCTCGTTTTATCCTCAACAATTGTGCAGTATCATTGTTTTTTCACACAGTGTTAGCTAAAACTGTCATCATTAACTTGTGTAGTAAGTTGCACAGAATTACATTCAAGTCGATCCTATCCGAAATGTATAATAGGTAGTAAGGCTAATTAGACTACATAAATAATATTATTTCAAGGTAGAAATACTGTTATGAAGTATTGTTTTATGAACAGGTTTATGGATTGTTAAAATGAAAGAAATGCATGTTGTTTGTTCGATGAGATTTGCTTGTAAAAGGCAACTAAGCGATGTTTTCTCACAATAGTGAAATATTAACGTCTAAGGTTTATTCTTTCTCTTTGCATGTACAATATTATATTAATAAAATTATTCTTAGGGACCATTGTAAATTAGAGTTATGAACCAGTCCACTTCTTATTAAAACTCAAGGTATATTGCTGATTGATATAATATATGCATTTTGAGTCTAGAGAACTAGTAGCCAATCATAATTGACTTTTCGAAACAATGCATTATATCATAAATACTCAAACAACTGGATCAATATATTTTGTTGAGATTTCTGCAGGTCAGAAACATGTAAAAACTGTAAGCTAATACAATTTGGTGTTATTATTGTTATAGAGTGAAAATCTAATTGTGAATGCAACTGTTGTACTAAGTTAGATGACCGAAAATAATCGTAACATTGCTTCAAGTAACTTTTTCCTCACAAATAATATCCCGAACCCAACATTACTGCTTACGCGATAAGACAAATTCATGAGGACATTAATAACCAAACATAGCCAATTATTCCGTGTTCCTTTTAATATCGAACAGAGGATCATTAAGTTGTTACTGAAAAAAAGTTAACATAAATATTACAGTAGCGTACTATGCATACATTCTATCCTTGTGTGTTATTGTAAATCGCCTGACTACCATCTTCCGTAAAAATGATTTAATTGATTAGTAAGATTCTTAAGTTATTCATATCATCTTTGTTTTCTAGGTTGTTGTTATTGTTGTGATTACTTCTATTAGGCAGAAATAGATCATGCTTAGACTCATTTTGTGTTGTCGCTTATTATACTTCCTACTCAATTTTCTTTTATATTTATAGTTAACTGTAGACACACATAATATACTGATTGAAGTTTCTGGAATCAATTTACCTTTATGCAAACAATTTGCTGAAGTAGTCATCGCTTGGTTATTAGAAAATGCTTGTCCACAATCAAAGGCAAATAAATCCAGTGACAAACCAAATACCGGGGAAGTTAATACAACAGAACAATCACAGCTTGTTGATGAAGTGGATAAAAGGTTAACACTGAAGTCGATTGTCGTTCCACCTAACTCTCTTGTGGTACGCCCAATCCGTGTTGTCGATGTTGATTTCGATTACAATCTATGTGTCATGTTTCCATCACGATCGGATTTAACTGATGCAAAGTTTAATACCATTCGTTAGATATATTATTTTTATTACTCATATGTTATCAGAAACGAATTTATATCTATACAGATACTTAACAGAGTGGAATAATTATTTTTAACTTTTATTCATTATTGATAATAAGTTTTCTCGTTTAAAGATCCCCATCATATTAAGAGATTAATTATATTGGTCTTTTAATAAGTTTTCTGTTTATGACACGTTTCTTTTATCACCATTAACCGCCATCTTCGTTATTGTTACTGGATCATGTTTCTCATTTAAAAGCAATAAACATGTTTTAATGTATGTCTGTTTGTGATTTTGTAAATTTGATTCTTTATTCTATTCATAACGTCTTTATTATGGTTAGGGAGACATTATAATGACTTTTCTTCATATGGAATTTGGGGAATCGAAAAAAATAAAATAAACTGTTGGTTTATCACTTATCTGCTTGTTGTTTTATTTCTGCTGACAGAAATTTTCAGAGTATTTATCTATTAATTTAACCTTATTTGGTGACTGAAAGAAAATCATCAGCATAACAATGTAATCATGCGTGTAGTTTTATGTATCGGTTGTGAGCTTCACATGTTGTAAAAATTTTGACAATTATATTTATAACCATTCACTAACTGTATAGGTAGGATTATTGAATAAAGTAAAATTCGTCTCATAAAAGACAACATTACTATAGTGATGAAAGGAGACTTCGGGACCCTTTGAATGGAACATTCAAATTCAGTTCCACTTACTTTGCTTTAGGCATGCTTTAAGTTTCACTAGCCTTCAACACAGTAAAGTATGACTCGTAGTTGATTGTATAAAGTTATTCTTAATAAATGAGTTACATAAAGTGAAATAGAGGTAAGTCATTGGGAATTACGATTTGGCTTACTCATATGATGCACTTAGGTGAGGAACTGACTTAATTCATAACAAAATCATCTTGAATGAGATTTTCATTGTGTATAAAGTCTTATTCTTTGGAATTGTAACTACTGTCTCTAGAGATAATAACCCAATCTATTTCAAAACATGCAAAGATATTCTTTCAGTAAAAATGACCGGATACCTGCAATAAGCACTTTTATTTTTAATATAATTTATCTCCCTATCAGTTTAAATGCTATCGACTGACGTCAACTATATGAAATCATTGAAACTCAGTGAGCAGTGAAAAATTACATTCAGTTTACGATATCTCAAGTTAAATTATGTTTCTGATGTGCTTATCAATTAACAAGTCGAAAGTATCTTACCAATCATGAATCTTAAAATAGGATGGTATTAATATAATGTTTCCGTACGTTTATCAGTATTAAGTTTCTTCAAATTAATTGAATTTTGGCATGATACATTAATTAGGCGTTAACCATTGATGTAATTGTTACTGTTATCGGTAAAATAATAAGTAAATAAGTTTTCAGTTTACATTTAAATGTTAAGAGCCATGTTAATGATTTAAATATTCAATTAATGGAAAATTAATTATTAACATGTTTATTATCCCTAAACTTATATTTATTCATTCCACTAGATTGACTGACTATACATACACTTAACTCATTCTCCCTAAATTATTTAGACCATGTATGACTTGTTGTCCATCTCTGTAAAAATGATATCATTTTAAGTAATGATTAACCATAGATGTTTTTCTTAGCAACATTTTAACTTACTGTATGGAAATACTGAACTGATGCTTTTAATAATCACTTCCATTTTACTACTGACAGACTGAATCGATCTAACATAGTACATACTTTGTTTTGTGTAAATTATGTTGCTCGTATCTTTTCTGTTCTACTGTAGTGAAATTTGAGTTCCATCTTATATATTATAACCAGTGATAAACTATTGTTATCTCAATCACATGATAATCTGACTTATTAAATTTATAGAAATCAATTTATTTAATTTAAAGTTAGTTCGGTAATTCATTTTTATTCTAGACTGATTATTTATTGAAGGATAAGTTTTTAATATACAATATTCGTTATTAAAATAAACAGGAAGGTAATATTTTATAATATAATAAATTGTGATTAAGTTTTACACATCTACTCTTATTCATAAATGACAAGACACGTAGTTGTAAAGCAACCGGAATGTATACAAATAAAACCATGTAACAGTGAATATAGAAATTTGAAACAACATGATAGTCAAATAGATATGGTACCATGGATTCAGTCATCTAATAACAATGTGCATAGTTATGCCCAAAAAAGTGATGTAGATTATAATAATAATGATGATGATGACCATGCAGATAATTGTAATGACATTCATTCAGTTTCTTCAGTATCTGATTCCTATAATCTACGTTGTTGTCTACTGTCAGCATGTTGTGAATCTTGTACATGTTTTACAATCCCAAGAAAGTGTGATACTATTTATTATGCACTACAAAAATATACAAAATATTGTCCTAGTGGTTGTCCTACTATAGTTCCAAAACCGGAAGAAGAAGAATGGAATCTACCACCAGAGAAAAATGCACGTAGTTTTGCAATGTGTCAGTGTTGTTATTCTCCAGGTGGTATAATATGCATGAAATACTTGGACATATTATGCTGTCCATTATGTCCAATGTGGGATATATGTAAAGGATGCGATTATGGTTATCGACGCTTTCGAATACAAGTCATATTAGACCGTTATAAAGATTCACACAAACGGAGATATATACCGTGTATATAAAATAAAAATGCTTGTCATTTTCAGAACATAAAAAATTACAATGTATTTGTATTCGTACTTAAGTTAGTTTACTACATTTTTTGGAATTAAAAACAATACAATAGTTCCTTACTGTTGAAAGAATTATCTCCAAATACCTGTAAGTTATTTTTCAGTATATTGAAAGGAATGAGTTTTCATGTTAATATGTTCACTGAAGTCAATCTCAGACCTGAGGCTTGTCCAGATTTCTCAATTAAGAAATAAGATAGTCATAATGAGAAAGCAAGCGTAAAACTAAGCTTAATAGGTTGCGTTTATCAGGATTTAATAACCTAATAGTGCACTTCTTAGTTGGTTTCTGACATCCTCATACACATACATCTTAGTGAATTTTGATATTCTCGTTGAGACTTGTCGTCAATAGTCATCGTTTCGAAATTGTACAGAAAAGCAATCAGATTCCATATCAACTGAACAACTTGTCAGTTATAAATTAGAAGAAAGTTAAGAGTGACCAATCCAGAATGTAGCATCAGTCAGCGAAGTTATTTATAGTCGGACTGAGTAGTGTTGTTAGGCATTGACTATCTTGTTTGCGTTGGCTTGTTTATTGTAGCCAGTAATCGGGGACAGGTAACGCAGCTCAGAATTTTTTTCAGTAGTGCAGACGTATTCACTTTTTGTCTTCCCTTAGATCTTGGGTTTTAAAATCATCTCATACTTTCTTAGTTCATGAATTAATGCTTTCTTTTCAGATCATATTATCTATCCCTAATGTTTTTTACTACCACTGATGCTGTTATTACTCCTACTACTCTTGGATTCGTCTTTACAATTTCATCACGATATACTGCATTAACTTGAAACGATGTACATATGTCCCAGGATCTTTATTGATTATGATTGATTGTGAAGGGATCCGAATAGCTCTTTTTATGTGAAAGCTTTTGCAAATGATGTTGTGTAGAAATACGATGAACGATTCAGAATTAAAGCCATCTAAATCGTAGAATGAAGTACAACTAAGATCCTGAGGATTGAATGTAATTATGTTCAGTACTTCTGTGAAAAGCGTATTGTTAGCAAACTATGTAAATTGTTAGATTCACCCATCGGGAAATAATTAAAGTGAAAAATACTTTGTGCAATAAGGTTAAGGAAAATCTGTCAAAATGTGATTATGTATGCCAAAAAGTGTTATTTTCTGAACGAACAACTTAATTTTTCAAACTTCATCATGTTACTTAGTAGTAGTATAAAATAATCCATATAAATTTACCATTGTGTAAAGATGGAACCCATGTACGAACGATACTTGGTAAATGAAGTAGGTATTTTTTATTTTAAAGCTGCGAATGATATTTAGAGACTCCTGCGATTTTTCTGTTATTAACATCGATTAAATATTAAGGTCATTACTAGCAGGACATAGATTGGATTATAGAATGTTCCATCCAGGATTGTGTTGGGGCACATTGATCGACTAAGAGCTAATTAATCAACGGATACCTAGAAAAGACTCTAGAATCTTCTTGTGCAAAATTCTAAATATACTAACGTTTTTCCTACTGTGATTCCTACTTTCATTCAATTTTGTTTATTTGGAATGTAATTACATTCCTGTTCAACCGTCTTCTGATTTGGGGACTAGCTAGCTAGGTTGTAACAAGAGTGATCATAACGGGCATCGTAATATAATACGTATCTACCAGTCGATACGTGAAGCGTTATTGCATACCAACTAAACGGTTGAATGGAAGTAGGAATCATATTAGGAAAAAAGTTAGTATATTTACAATTTTACACAAGAAGATCCTAGAGTTTTCTAGGTATCTGTTGATTAATTAGCTCTTAGTCGATCAATGTGCCCCAACACAATCCTGGATGGAACATTCTATAATCCAATCTATATTCCCCTAACACCTCTCCTTTGAACAGACTCGTAGGATCTGGTGTTAGAGCTCACATGTATCTGCATGACTGGTCTACGCTTTCGATTTGTCCACCTTTTCGGCAATAAAGAAGTGGTATCACTTTTCGTTTGCACAAAGAATGGCCTGTCAGTTTTTTTTGTTTTAATTTGTAAAATGTTCAGCGAAACACTAAGGTGTTCTGTGTCGAGTTTTGTTGCTGGAAATCGAAGTTGCTTTTATTCAGCATGACGCACCCAACGTCTGAACCAACTGACACCTCGTAAACCACACTTTCCTTCTTTTACACGATTCGACCAGCTATCCATGTAGGATGTTTGCTACGATAATTCATAGCAAATACTTTTTGACTCACAGTGAATAATCATCTTTGTACCCCATGATGTCGATCAAATTGCTTACTCATTGATTTGTTTTGTTGAGGCTCAAGAACAGGCGTCGGACATAGGTATTGAACTGTGTTCGTATTTTTCTGCCAAGTAAAGTTTCTGCTAGAGAGGTCCCGTTAGCTGTCTGAGGAATTGGTATAAAACACTAG